AAAACAACATATGTTAAGATGTTATCTTTTAGTTTCTATAGGGAACCAAAACACCTCGTGACTCTGGCTTGCTTGGGAGAAGACTATTATTACTGTCTTCTTGCTTATCATGTTGTTCATTTACTTTTCAAGACTAGCTAGATACTTGGAATTTCCCCTGAGGTGACTCAAGATTTTTCCTTTATTTCCATGCTTAGGTTCGGGACAGGCATCTAAGAGAGGTCTCTGCTCCATCTCAGTATGAGGGATATTGTACATTTTTAGCTTTTCATTAGCTTTTTGCAATGAATCTTTTATAAAAGCTATTTTTGAATCCTATTGTCTCTTTGAGGCTTCTGAATGCCAATTAAAATGAGGATCCTGGCCAGGCATGGTGGCTCAGGCCTGTAATCCCAGCACTTTGGGAGGCTTGCTTGAGGCTCGTAGTTCTAGGTTACAGTGAGCTATGAACCACTGTACTCCAGTACTCCAGCCTGGGTGACAGAGCAAAACCCTGTCTCTTTTAAAAAAAAAAAAATCCCATTCTTTCTGCCTAATCAGATGCTTGGGATTCAAGTGTATTTCCGTCAACAGAAAAGAAGCCAAACTCTGTAAAATAATTTAAAGAGGTTTATTCTGAGCCAAATTTGAGAACCATGACCCAGAGCCATGCCCAAGAAGCCTTGAGCAAGTGGACTCACTCTAGTTGGGTTATACTTTGATTTTGTACATTTCAGGGAGACAGGGATTACAGGTAAAGTCATAAATCAATACATGGAAGACATACAATAGTTTGGCCTGTAAAGGGGGACCATCTCGAAGTGGGGGCTTTCAGGTTATAGGTGGGTTTAAAGATTCTTTGACTTGTAATTGGTTAAAGACATGAAGCTTTGTCTAAAGGCTTGGAATATTTTAAGATAAGCAGGTCTATTAATCCAGAGACAGGCCACCTGACATGTTTGTTGTGTCAGTTGAGGACCTGTAGTTTGTCTTGCATAGCCTTAGGCCTGTTAATGAGTTACAAAGGATATCTCCAAGAAGGGAGGGGAGGGCATGATGAGGCCTGTCTGACCTCCCTCCTGATGGCAGGCAATTTGGTTTTAGGGTATCCTCTTAGCCAGGAGGGGGTCCATTCAGCCGGCCAGTTGGTAGGGGGGAAGCCTTAAGCTTTTATTTTAGTTAACACTTCTTAGTCCAATGGTCTTGTACATCTGAAAGGGTCTTCAAATTCTAAATTATCTTTAATAAGATTTTTCCACTTTTGTAAGTATATTGCAGTTTCCAGGCCCAATACTTATACATGTAAAAAGCAGGCGTAGCCAGAAGGTGGACTACTCAGTTCTTTAGAAATTAAGGATCCCACTTTTACATTGAGTCTCTCGAAGCCAAGGTAAAAGCCTAAGAAGGAGATGTCATGGGTCTGGGTCCTGTAATGCTTTTACGGTATAACTCACAGACATTTTTCTTGCAGTTTGGTGGGCAACCTAATGTCAACTAGCCCATTCCCTGACCAGCTTATCCTCTTGTGGTAATCTTTATTTCTTGGTAGTGAGTCACTCTAATCTGTAGCCCCCAACCCCCGCCCCGTCCATGGGAAAATTGTCTTCAGCGAAAGCTAGGAAGGGTCGGGGGAAGCACCAAAAACAAGAAGCAAACAAAGGAAACCTCAAGCCTCCGCCGGAATTAAAAAATTAAAACCGCCCCCCAAGGCCGGCAACAACGCCCGAACCTTGCCCCCCCCACCCCCCATCTGTGGAAAAATTGTCTTCCATGAAACCAGACCTTGTTGCTAAAAAAGCTGGGGACTGCTGACTCTAATAGCTCTTAAGTGCACAACCCATGCCCACCAGTCAGGCTGTGGCTTTGGCTCTGAGATTCCCTTGACCAACTTAGTCAGTGATTTTCCAGTTTCTGTCTTATCCAATCAGATACCTGAGACCTCCCTTACCTAAATGCACAAGAAAAAGAAATGAAGGGGATAGAACCCACATACCTGCAAATTCCAAAAGCCAGAGTTTATGCCCCTTGCAGTAATAACAACTTATTGTAACCACTGACAGTTACCTTTAAAATTGTGTTGTTGAAACTGCAAGGGCATTTGGTCTAGGTACAGTTACCCATTGCACAAAGATCCAATTACTGAGACAATGAGGATTGCCAAGGAAGAAAGGAATTTTTAATACTACAGAAGCTGAGAAGCTGCCTCAAATCCAGGAGGGGCTGTGTACCCCTCCTGAATTTGAGAGGGGGATAGTGAGTCCTTGCTTCAGAAAGTGTGCCCTGGGGCCTTTAGAATCTCAACTCCTTTTGTCTGGTAGGAAGTCCATCATTTCAGGCCAAATATGGTGGTTTAGGCCTATAATCCCAGCACTTTGGGAGGCCCATGCTGAAGGATCACTTGAGGCCAGGAGTTGGAACCTATCATTTCTGGGAAACAACTCAAAGGGTCAAGTAGTTAAAGTTAAGGGAGAGGATAATAATAAGGATTCATGGAGTCAGTTATATCAGCCACCGCAAATCCAAAGGTCATGTGCCCTCTTGCAGCACAGATAACCATTGGTACCACAAAACCAAAAAGATCAGAGAACTCGGTGCAACAGAAGGCAGAGCTCGAGGGGAACTCTCAGGGCTTTGTGAGGAAAACAGAGGATACCCAAAAAGAAGGGGTCATTGGCGCCTTTTCAGTGTTCCTCAAGGAGTCTGTGGGTCATCAGAAGTCTCCTTCATATGGTCACCAGAACTGTCAAAAGACAAAATTACAGTAAATTTACTTATAATCTAATTGGCTTTTATTTGCAATTCATGAATTCTACAAAATAGAAAGCTCCCACTGGGCAGTGGTAGAACTGTGGGTTTATAAGGTAGACTCAAGCAACACTAGGGAAAAAAAAGATTTGTGTTTATATTTTCTTCTAAGGTATGTCAGGTTTTAGTCTGAAATGTTGGTTCTTGATGCGCTCATGGCGGAAGAATGACCAGACACACCAAAGTAAGGCAAGCACGAAAATGAGGTTTATTGAGGAAAGAAAGATAGGATTACAGGGCAAGAGCAAGATACAGGTTTACAGAGCATGATACATACGCCACATTTATGCATACAACCAGGCCCATTGTTGCAGCAAAGGGAGAGCAAAAGGGACTGGTTATGGTGTGCATCTTCTTTTATAGTGCCCAGATTGGGACCTCCCTCCTGGTTCAAGATATCACCATAGAACCACTTTGATTGGACAGTTGTGAGTTGCATTGCTATGCATGTGGGTAGTTTTCCAGACTCTATGGTACCTATGCTGCTTGGCTTGTGGGCTAGAGAGTCCTCTGCGTTCTTTTGCAGCTGGCACACTAAGTTATTTGTGATTGCCAGATTCATAGGGTATTTCCTCCTCCCCCAGCTATGGCAGTCTCTCGGGAGAGAATTAGGGTGGGGCAGGACCAAGATGGGAGCCTGGGGCCCACCCTCATCCTTCTTCCCAGGTAGGGCAATTGCACCAAGGCAACAGCATCCACTTTCGTCCCTAGGAGACCCGACATCCCTCACTATCTACGTAACAGTTTTAGCTCTTATATTTAGAACTCTTTTGTGTTAATTTTTGCTAAATTTTATGTTATTCTTTTAAAAACATTTTTAAAGTATCGTGAAAAATATAGAATAACTTATGATTTCATGGAAGAATTCCTGAGAATTCTACTTTCTCGTTCCTGAATCCTGAAGATTAATATCAGAATTTGGAAACACACTAGGTGGTGCAGTTTTCTCTGCATTGATAGTGAAGGCTCTTAGGTAGTTTGCTCTTTGAACAGATGGTGGCAGCAGAGCTTTAGAGAATGTAAATTCTTGTTTTTATAAACTTAGTATTTAATTAAGAATCTTCTTAATGTAGTTGGCCTGCCTTCTTTTTGATAATAGGTTGGTATGCACTAAATTTAAAGTTCTTTTTAAGATTCTTTAAGAATTATTTAAATTTAGGGATTTTTTTTTTTTTGCCATGAATTTATTCAGACTTCTCAGTTTGTAAGGCCAGTTTGTGAAATATGGACAGGATTTGCTTGACATCTTAGAATACAGTTTTCTCAAATTTCCCTAATGTGTGTTATCTACTTTTTTTTTCATTATGTCACTCCTATTTCATGATCTTTATGTAGAGAAAAAGTACTAGAGTAACAGTCAAAATGTTGATCTCTATTAAAGTTCTTCTCGGGATTACTCCTGAAACAAATTGGCGGATTTACAGTCTGATTTTGAGGATAGATAATATAGAAGTTGGACACATGGGCAACCTTTTTTTCCTTCAATAATAAAAACTATGTCATCTGAGGATTGGACCTCAGTTGTCCTTTTTAGATCTAAATAGTAAACAGTAAAATTAGGTGATGCCCATTTTCCCTGACAATTGTTTCCATACAGTAGTAGAAATAACAAACACCTATTGGGCACTGACTCTTTGCTAGGCACTATGCTAAATGCTTTGCGTGCATTGTCTTCTTTTATTCTCACAACAACTCACAGATAAGCACTGTTTTTGCCGTGAATTTCCCAGAGGAGAGATGGGTTGATGAGTTGAGAGAAGTTAAATAATTTGACTAAGATCACATTAGCAGATGAAGTAAGTGTGTGTGTTCTAAAGCAGTCATATTGTACTTTTGTGTGTTTAATTTTTACAGATGGTAAATTAGATACATCACTCTGCAACTTTTTAAAAAAATTCAACACTGTTTTTAAAAGATCTACAGCTCTTGCTACTACATATAAATATTTGATCAATTTCTTTACTTCATGAGTATATAATACTTTGTATTTGTTTGACTTAGCTGCTGAAAACTAGCATATCCTGGAATCTCATCTGATTTGGGCTTTACTTCACTTTTCCACTAGAGGGTGTACCAAATGTTTGATTTAATTGTTTTTCTTTTGCTAAAACTATAATAATATTGGAATAATGTGTTACTTTTTGTTATAATAATCAGAAAAATTTTAATGCATATAACAGGTATAATATTCTCCCTGTTTTATTTTTATACTGCAGGTTACTCATTTTTGGATCCTATGACAGAGAGGCCACTATTCACTGCACTCTTGAGTTGAGCAGTAGTGTTTGGGAAGAAAAACAAAGGAGTTCTATTAAGACGGTAAAGTGAATTTGCATGGATTTACGTCTGTATAAAGTTCTATAAGCATGCTTTTATTAATATTTCTGTGTTCCTAGAGTTAGTTTTGGTCATGTGCAAATAGTTATGAACAGTTCTTGTTATATTTGTCTTGTTATAGTACAACATTGGTAATAAATCACATGAAGCTATAGTTAGTATTCAGATTACCTGCATAGGAAGCATAGTCCAACTAGTTTTTCTTTCAGAACTTTAAAATTGTTTCATTTATGAAATTAGAAGGAAATAATTTTACTAAACACCTTAGAAGGCATGTGAATTCAGAAGATTCATTCATTCAACAGATATTTTATGAGTGCTTACGTTGTACTAGGCACTGTTTAGATGCAGGGAAAATAGTTTAAGACGAGAAAGGACCCTATTCTGTGGCACTAACATGGTGTAGAGGTGTGGTGTGGGGATTAGAGGAGAGAGGAGGTTAACTACACTTTATAGGGTAAAGATAGAACATAGCAATAAACCAGTAAACCAGAAAAGTGAACAAAGCTATTTCCAGAGATTGACAACTATAA